ACAGTCCTTCATCACCTTAGAGTGTATACATCTCATACTAAAGAAAGTCTTGTTTCGTTAATTATCATATCCACTTGTGAGGTTGTTTATAAATTAGTGAGGACATGTATATTTAAGTGCGAAACAAATGGCGATAACTTTGAGTCATTATAGCAAAGCCAGCATCCATCCATTATAATAAAATCTCAAGGTACATTTGTTAAATAGCAAGTCACTTTAGTTCACTTTGCCTAATGGAAGTGAATCGGCTCGCTGTACATATTTTAAACTTGGTAATAGACAAGTTCCTTCTAGATGAGTTTATGGGCTTCCTGTGGGAGATCGGAAATGTAGAACGCATGCAAATATCATTGGAAGCATAACCCAGAAGTTTATAGCCGCCGCATCCTCTTCCTAACTGGCTCAGTGGGCCGCCTATGCTCAATTCTATCAGGTAAGTGCGAGTAGTGTAGTCATCGAGACATCCTCCGCCAGATACGAGCAAAATGCTGTTGAGCTCTTTACTATCACGTGGCAGACAGCATCGGATCAAAAGAGGACGTGTTTACACGTTAATATAACAAAAAAGCCAGTCCTCGCTTGTTACAAATACCCAGAAAACTGCTCAACTAAAGTCAGGTATAGCCAAATTCGGTTGTTTCCCTACGGTACATCGGCGCGTGTCTGCATCTATAAGCATGCGGATAAGCGAAATTCTAAGTCAAAATGGAATCTAATGGGGTTTTATATTTGACTGAAGGCCTCAAACTCATTGGTTTGATACATATATATGACGGTGGATTCTTCTTTTTAGCTATGGATCGGTCAATTTACTAAGGAGAGCAGCTGAATACAAAAAAATGCTTGTACATATGTTTGGGTCCAGAGGTTCAAGGTGGCTGACACCACAACAGACTGGGACTATAGAATGGCCTCAAACGCATTCATTTGATATTTTTTTATTTTTTTATATATAGCCAAAAAAGAATAAACCACAGTCGTATTCTGGTGAGATCGGCCTTTGAATATCTTTATCACGTTTCCACTCAAAATTAAAATGGGCCTAAACAATCTCTATTAACACTCTAGACTCTTAATGTATATTGGTATAGCACAAAAACTTGGCATTAACTCTTTCTCTACAGTTAATTTCTGATCTTCCACTAAAACTGTCCAAAACTTGGCGATTTGCCGATTGTGTCATCTGATGCTAAACACAAAATAAGAGGTTGTGAAGACCTACAAGGAAACAGATTAAAGGTAATGAATGGAATTAGAAAAATAAGTAAGAACTACTTTCTAACTATTACTAGACTTGAGAATAGCAGTGAAAGACATGTGGGCGAATAAATTAAACCATTATATACCTGATATAATTCATTTTGCTTAAAGTATAGGTGAAATGCTGGGACGAGTTAGCCCGAATGTCCAGAAACTGAGTGTCTTCAAAGTGAAATGATAGACAAAAGCTCAGCTCGTTTTTATCAGAGCCTACGTCGTCTTAAGGCAGACCTAGAGGAAATGTTGTCTTCTGGCCTGATTAACCAGCAAATTTATCTACCACACTTTCACGAGACGTAAAAGTCGGCTTATAATTGCTTTTATCCACAATTCTGAAATAGCCGAAGCTGCTTGGCGAGATTTTTAATCCCCATTAGGGCTTAGCTACTTTCTCAGGTTATCACAGTCATTCGTCTTCTGTATCGAGCAGGACGCCTATCAACCAAAAATCGAATAATAGATGCAACCAAATCTAAGGCCATACCATCTTGGTGTTCATACCTACGATTTAAAAATCGCAATACCATTAATTAAGCAAACAGATTAGAGGTGATTTCAAGCAGTAAGTGTAAACAGCCTAGGATGCAACGGCGGCAAGAAGGCAAGCAAATATATGCACGCATACAAGGACATGCTAGCATACTGGAACAAACTTGCTTACTTGGCCATATCCTGAATGAATTTGCAAGAGATGACCC